CATGTCATGGCTTTTATACGGTTTCTTTCTTTTTTTTTTTTTTTTCTTCCATCAAAAACATTAGCTCCCTTTTTGGAAGCTAGTTTGATTGAGAAAATCTTTGGGTATGAAGGCTTGAACAACTCAGATTCTGGGCAGGTTGACAGAACCAGAGAATTGTTGATGCAGAGGGCAGGGAGCAACTGTGTTCAAGACCCACAGTGGTTCACATGGCCTTGGAGCCAACCCAGAGACATAGCTGTGCCTGAGCTCAGCACCCTGCAGGGCTCTGTGGTCTGGGGAAAAGTGGCCAATGGCCCAGGGCCACAGGGACAGGTGACTCTGAAGAGCACCAGAGAAGGATAAAGGAAGACTTGAGTTCATCCAGCATCCAGCATCAGCCATGGCCTAGCCCTGCCTTCACCACCACCCCATCTTTATCCATGCCAGTCCCAAACAATGGGCCCTCTCCTCTCTTGAGTGGCAGAGCAGCTTCACCATGTACCAGTGTGCCATGTCTGCAGCACAGTCCAGTCGTCCTCCCCTTTGGCTACATTCTCCTGCAAGCTACACTCCAGGTATGATTTATTCCTGGTTCATTTCCTGTGACTCAGTTACATAGGATACAAAATTATGATAATGGTACTTGTCTCCAGATAATGAATGAGGAGTTCATATTTCTCATAGCAGAGATGTTATACAAATGCACAGTATCATTACAGCTAAAACCCATGACTAAAGAAATTAAATTTCCTGCAATGTTTTATATTGAACAAGAATGTTTGTAATCCTCCATATTTACTGCTAAATGAGGTGGACTACAAGTAAGAGGATATTTAAAAGGAAGGAATGAGCTCAATGGGAGAAATTAACAAATGGGAAAATTGCAGCCCTGCATTTTGTACTTTATAGAGAAAAAGGGCTTGGTAAACATGCAACAGGAAACCCTGTTTGATTTCTACAAGGAAAATTTAACTAGCAACAGACTCATGTAGACTCTTCAAAGAGAAGTTTCTATACTTGTTTACCTTTTGATATGTAGCTGAAAAGAACACTATGCTTCAGTTTAAAAGGAAGTGATATGAAATAGTTTACTCAGTTCTGCAAAGAGCTAGACACTTAACTGGACATACAGCAAAGGAAAGTTTCATCATAAACACATTGGGAAGAAAAGAGGTATAAAAATGCGGGGGGCGGGGGGGGGTGAAGGTTTGAAACGGCTACACATCTCACAATTTCCCAAATTTCGTTCCTTTTATTATTTTACGAACATATAAGGGTCAAAGTCAAGCATTTTGACCTCGCGGTTCTGCCAGATTTATTGGCCTCGTCTTCCACGCTTGTTTCCACCCACCCTTTTTTGTCACGCGGTACCAACTCCTGGCCTCCTAAAACCAGAAGAGAGTGCATTTCTGAAAACCCCACACAGTCATAGTGTCCTGCTCACTGACAGGCAGGTGACCCCTCCATGCAGGTAGCAACAGGTGTGACCCATTCTTGGGCTATTAGCCCAAGAAATGCCATCCCAGCCCACCCACGTCATCAGTACCACATCTGCCTATGGGTCCTCCACCTGGGTAGTGCTCAGAACCACGTCCCAGCCAATTTATTTGTCTCCTGACAGATAGACAGAGGGTGGAGGAGTAGAGGGAAGAGATGAGGTAGGGATGGGGCAGTGGGCAGAGTCTGCACAACTCAACCTTATTCCAACACCAGCTCTCTTACCTGCCAGGAGCATCTGTCATCTTTCACGCATGAGAAACAAGTCCCTCAGAGCCTGCTGGCCTCAGCTCTGGTGTAGTCTGTACTTATCTCATCCAGACCTGAGGACGGCGAGGGCTCCCTGAGGGTCCAGACCTGGCAATGAAGGGGCTCACCTCTCCAGCCTGACCTGAGCCGGTGCCAATTTCCCTGGGCCAATAAACCAAGCAGAACCACAAGGTTGAGCTCTGCACCTCCCATGTCCTCACCTCTTCCTCCTTAGCCACGCTCTAAAGTGGTTTCTGGGTCCTCAGACAGGCATCTCCTTCTGTTGATCTGCAGACTCTCCATGTGTCTTATCCCTTCAAGATTCTCACCATGGATGCATTTGCCATTCATGGTCAGGTTCTGAACTTTCTAAGGGAGTCTTCTCTGTGCCTGGAAGACTTCATGATGCACTTGCTCAATTGACATGAAAATTTCCTATCTATCATTGTGCAGAAATCAGGCTTGTTCAGGATTTACTATGGAAGGTTAACGGGAATGGGGAAGCTAAAAGAAAGGTAAGACAATGTCCTTAACACATTCAACCTGAAGTCATACCAATTAGTTATATTTTGAATGACTTAATTAAAAAATATTTCAAACCTTTAAAAAAAATGGTTCTCAAAAATGTAACGCACAACTAGAGACCTGCCATAGAAATTAAATATACATTATCATTTGCAATGCTTGCTTGAAGTCTTTCAGTTTTAAGAGATTAAACACTAAATTAAAGCAATGACATTTTCCCTCTCCTTCTTCCCTCTCCCCTAGTAGATGTCTCCTAATTATAAGAGAGCTGTGTGTCATCCCACATCCACTTTTGTGCTCTCTTCACATATGAATGCATATATGAAATACACACACCAGTACTTCTATGTTACAGAATTTACATAAAACTTTTCCTGCTGTTTAGTTCTTTCATAGAATGCTTTTTACTTTTTGTCATGTTTTTTTTTTAGTTTGACCCCCATTGTTACATACAGATCTAGTTTTATATATGCTGCATACTTGATAGCTAAATCATAGCTTATTTGTACATTACACTAAAAGAAGTATGCTTAAGTTGTTCCTACCTGTTATTACCATATGCAATGCTACAACTATCATCATTTATACATCTTCTTATGCATTTGTGTGATTTCTCTAGAACAGATACCTAGGAGTGAAGTTACTGAATCAAAGGTATGGAGGTACCTTCAACTTTATTTGATATTTCTCAGTTTCTTTTTATGGAGGTGATACTACTTTGCAGTTCCACCAGGGACATATTCACATTCCTGTTTTCCAACCTCCTCATCAACCAATAGAATAAGGTGAAGCTCTTGTTTTATTTTGCATCTCTCTAAACCCAGTGTGCTTGGATAGTCCTTGGTTCATTAGTTCTTCTTTTGTATCCTTTGCCATTTTTTCCTGTCTGGTATTTAAACTTGTTCTCCTTGGCTTGTAAGCATTCTGCATGTATTCTGGATCTGAATTCGTGCTCTGTAGGTTGTAAATGTCTTCCCCAGCCTAGTTATCCCGTTAGTAAGAGGAACCAGTGCTTAGGGTAGGGTTACAATGCCAGTATCAGGTGACTTACAGAACAGTGTGGAAATGTTTCTCCTTTGGGTAAAGTTTTGTTCTTCTCAGGACTGAGAATAAAGCTGCATATGTTTATCTGAAACATTATATTGCATATACTTCTGCATATTTTCAAAAGATGTCAAAACAATCTTTAATGTTCATATCTTGGCATCCTATTAATGTTTACAAATATTGCTAAAATTGATTTATACAATAAGAAGCAGATTTTGAGTCTGCCAAGTCTGAGTTTGAAATATCATACCAGTTCTATGGAATGTCCTTTAGCAACTACTTAAGTTTAAAAATCATTTCATAAAACAAATCCTATTCTTGGTGATATTTTATTCTATGCCCACAGTGCTACAGAGAGCTTCATGAGTGAGAAATGCAACTCTGTGTACATTTGTATATATTTGTATATGTCCAGGGAGTATCTTTGCTTTAATCTTACACTTCAGTTGATACGTTAAACTTTGGGGAAATCGTGTTTTAAAGGCATCAGTGCGGCATATGCATCATGGAAAAGTGATTTTGCTGTCTTAATTCTTCACTCATTTCCACTAAAATAAATACAGAACAGATTTGGAGAACTGATGTTGACGACAGAATTGGTGAATCTGTGAGCCCATGGCTGGAAGCCTAAAATATTATTTTGAATTAACCTATTAACTCATTTGAGATAATTCCATCCAGATTTTAGTCTGTATTTATTCAACTGATTTATTGTCTGTTTTTCTTTCTCCCAAATGGGTCTCATTATGCCCTTGAAAGCAGTGTTCTCCATGACGTTCACCATTTTTACTTTTCAGTGTACTTCATACCCTAATTATTGAGTTAAGCATATGGAGTCCTAATTATGAACCCAGATATAACGTATGCCCGCTTCAGTGAGTGAGTTTGCACACAGGCTTACACGAGCTATCAAAGTGGCCTTTTACAGACCATTACACTTCCAGAAGTATTGCACTCCTTTAAACATTATGCTGGCTTCCATAAGGAGACATGAAGTAGGATTTCCCCAGGTGCTTGGAAAGGCTCAGACAGGCACAGTCTGCCAAGCCATCTCGGCCCCCACTTGTCTTAGGGCAGCACAAGAAACCCAGCCTTTGCTTTTCAACATAACAATAGAAGAGAGGGATCCTATGCTTGGGTTATAGACTTGGACGGTCTTGGGCTGGGATCTCACCAATGTAACGTAGTCAGGATCCTGGTAGAGCTGCTCAGACACTGCTAATCTATCTTCTATTCAAGCAGGAATACCTATTTACTGAGGTCGTTGTAGGATTGGTTGTACTGGCCAAAAGCACCATAAAATCCACACTGCCTATGTATTAGCTTCCCTCCCACCTCCAGTTAGCGTCTTCTTGTCTTCTAAGAATGGCCTCATTAACAGAGCTGTCCCTTGGTTTCTCACAAATGGAATACTGTCCTAACATAAGAAAACCTGATATTGGTCAGTTGTCAACAGCACCACTAGAAGCCAGACGGGTTTTCTGATTCCTCCTCAGTGAAGGGAAGATTAAGTACCACAAGTTGGGGTTTTATAACATCCTCTGGTGAACCTAGACATCCTCACAGCCTCACACATGCCACCATTCTCAGATCTTGCTTGAGAACCACTAGTACGATGGCCCTATGATAGATCTCAGGGAATCAGATGTTCCGTTAGCATTTTAGTCAGCTTTGGTGTCACTGTGACCAAAAGACAAGAATGACTTAGGAGAGGAAAAGTTTATTTTGGCTCGTTGTTTGTCCATGGTCATCCAAGTCCATCACTCTGAGCCCAAAGTGATCTAGAACATCATGGTAGAAGGGTGTGGAGGAGAAAGAAAGCTCAGGATATGGCAAACAGAAAGCAGAGAGCAGGCTCCACTCACCGGGGACAAAATATAAACCCCAAAGGCACACCTCCAGTGACCTAGCCATGCCCTACCTGCCTACAGTTAACACCCAGTTAATTCACTCAAGTGGATTAATCCACTGTTTGTGTTACATTAATAATTTTATCTTCAAATATTCTTGCATTTTCTCACATATGTGCTTTGGGGGGACACCAACCGTAACTGTTAGTAATGAGTGTCACATGTTGAAAGAGCTAGTGTACAGATGTCCACGTGCTTTGTCTTCATCAACTTTTCAATATGAGGAAACTAAAACTCAAAAGACCTAGAACACAGAGCTATGGGAAATGGGACATCAGAGGCTCTGACTGCCTGAATTTCCTATTAGATTGGGTTAAACCGTAAGAAATTGCCATTTTTGTAGGTCAATCCATAGGTGCATATGGTTTTCCCTTTAGGTGCCTGACTCAGAAAGTTTTAGTAACAAGTGACACACACTGACACAAACCTAGCTCAAACAAGAATAGGAAATTCAATTGCTGGAAAAATAGAGTCCTGCAGTGTGGCCCCACTAGGCATGGACAGAGCAGAGGTTCAAACATTGGGACCTTTCCTCCTTATCTGACTTGCCTTGTCTTGGTTTCCTTTCTGGGCAAGCCCTCTTTCTGTGGAGTAAAGGTGGCCACAAATCTCCAAGTCCCCTTAGTCCTTACAGTCAGAGACCGGCAAACCCGGAGGAGCTCTTTTTTCTTGATGTCCTTGACAGAAATCCTGGCCTGAATCCAAGCACCACCTCAAGTCCTTGGCCCTGACATTGACGGAGGTTTCAAGGATGTGTGATTGACAGCTCTTCCTATAATGGGAAAGGAAGTTTCCAAAATTAAAGAGGAATTTTTTTTTCCCAGAGGAAGAGTGAAAAGGTGCTGCTTAGGCAAAAACAAAACCAAACAAAAAACCCTACACATGTTCAGTGATAGGAAATACCCAAAAGCCTCAGAGAATCTAATGTTCTTCCCAATGCTAGTCAGACCTGACGAAAGAGAAAGTAAACTAAAAAAGAATATGGCAGAAGTCAATTTGTCAAAGATAAAGATAAAAACAGGATCAATAATGAATGGCCTATCTTGTTAACTAAACACTACATTAGTTTAAAGCTTAAGTATATTCCCATGATCTCAAGAATATTTTTAGCTATAAAATAAGAAAAATGTTTAGGTTTTTTAGAAAATCTTTAAGTAGCTAAAGTCAGCTTTTCCACACACATAGTGCTTTCACCTCTTAATTTCTCATGACATTGGAAAATTAAATAATATCTGCCTATTGGCCCCAATCCCACTGCATAACTCAGATTTAGACTTGCCTGTTCCTGCTATCTACATTGCCCCAAATTTCAGTTAAGTAGGGAAGAGCATCCATTCCAGGTTAGAATCAAGCAAACCATGTGCATGTACCTTACAAATTAATACTGGCAAAAATAAATAAGAAGAGATTTATTCTGCCCATCTGTAAGATGACTTCAATAACTCTCTTATAAGGCAGAGAGTTGAATTATTACAGTGTGCTATTGGTAATGAATGGCATGGAATTCTTTTTTAAAAATAAATATCTTTTTAGTCTTTGAGAAAAAAATTGGTCCAAACTTCTTTGATAACCTCATTTACCTATAAAGAAAAAATTGGCTCTTTAGCTCAACATTTTTTTAAAATAAAACTTCTGAATTAGTGTATTATTAGTTAATACAGCTGAAGGTACAATATACATTGTTAATTCTAATTAACTTATCTGTTATATATGCAATATGTAATATCATAAAGAAAAAGAAAAATGGGATAAAAAATAATATTTTTTACTAGTTTTGAGTTTGGGAGGAATAACTTCTTGATCTTGAATCAATAATCACTATTACTGCTATAATTATTATTATTCACTTACAATATGACTGACAAAGAGCTCACTAATAGAAGCCCTGCTTGCTCTGCAATGCCCTATTGTGTGCTGATATTTGCATTCTTAGTACTAACTTCAACCTCTGCTTTCTTTTCAGAAACTTTTGACGTTCTTTATTCAAGCATTAATTTCAGGTGGATAATATTTGCAATTGCTTACCTTGGCACGCAGGAGATGTATACACTGCATTCTTCTGGATGGAGCAAAGTGGAGTGGGCTGCAGTGTGCATCCTCTCGGTTATGGGGAGCCTCCTGGGCCTGTGCTCCCATTAGACACCACAGAGAAAACACCCCTGTCTAGTGCAAGTAGACAAAAGGCATCAGAGTCAACAAACATGGTTAACATTTAATATGCTTGGGGTTTTTTGTATTTTCCATGAAAAACTAAAATTCAGCATTATGATACTGTGCTTGAACATCCCAAGGAGCTCCCGAGGCAGCACCAAGGTGTGCACAAGGCATTGAAGACCCTCCACACTGTGCCTGGCACCTGGCAGTACTGGCCCAAGCACTGCTTTCTTTGTTTAAAACAACATGTTGGTGACACAGGAGAAGGGCAAGGGGAAAAATTTCAATCCTTGAAGATTTTCTTCATATTTTCCAACTGAATCACTCTGATGATATTCCAAGAAGCCATGGCACTCAGAAATCAGCCTTGTGCTGAACAATTAGCTTTTTGAAAATAAGTTTAGAAGTAGAATCTTTAAGCAGAATATTTTAACTAAATGTGCTGTTTTCACCCCAAAACTTAAGTCATTTCTTCAATCAATGATTAATTACATAGAGCAAATATCTTCATTAAAATGTTATGACATTCGATCTTGCTAAAAATACACTGGGAACAAAATTCTGGGCATGTCTCTTTTTTTAAAATAACCTTTCAAATGATTAATATAACATCAAATGCTCATTCCCTCTGTACCATATTATTAAGATGAACTCTTCATTTCAACTATATTCTGATAAAATTTTAACATCTCCTTGTTTCATGGGGGACAAAACTCCTTTCTTTTTATGATGGGCCCCTGGAATCTCAAAAACATTGCAAAACATCAACTTTACTTCTCTGGAGACAGATATAACTCACAGTCTTATGAACAGTAGAAATTGTCTGCACTGCTATGCAATGCCCTCGAGAGATGGGGTGGCCACAAGTTATTGCAACTACCAGCAACTCAAGACATTCAGCAGGAGAGCTATAAAGGGACTTAGAGGTGAAAAAAGAACTGTAGGTGAGTCAGGCTAATTTCAGCCGACTCAATCACTCAATAGGCTCTTAGCATTTAAGTTTGGAGATTATTTAATTAGCATTAGGCAAAAGAAATGGCATTACTTTGCTATATTTGGAGGGGGGTGTTTTACTACAAGACATTAGTTAAAAATAGCAGTGTGAATACCGAGAACTTTAAACGTATTTCAAGAGTCACTTTCTTATTTCAATTATTTTGAATTTTAAGAGGAATTTAAAGTTTGGACCTCTACAATAACAGTGCTTCCTGTGCAAACAGAACAACCGGAGACTGTCCCTGCTGGGGTAAATTATGTCTTAGGGTCAACTAGAAGTAAAGCAAGAGAAGAGAAGGAAAGAAAGGCAAAATTACAAAATGGCCATGAGTTGTGAAGAGATCCACTCTGCAGCCTCCTCTGACGTTGACAGCATCAAAAGACAAGAGTCTCTTCGGCCAATCAAATCTCCTTGATAGGAAGCATTTTAAGTGCCAGGCAGAAGCCAGTTAATAAATGTTCAGATTGTGTTCCAAATTATGTTCTCAGGAAGCCCAAGTTACATGTTCTTCTAAGGGAAACCTTGAAAGGAATAATTATTGAAATGATACTACCCTGAGTTTTTCCAGACTTTTATTATGTATGCAATATTCTTCGGTAGGTTACTTTCCTACACTTAACTGCTGCTCACTATAGGCCCTGGTTTTCTTTTCCTGGTATCTAAGTTGCCTTAATTTTGACATGGCTTTCTTTTATTTTTCATGTCAAGTTCAAATTGAAATGCTCTTCCAGTATTTGCCCACCTCTAATCAAATAATAGAGACCCTGCTTAGTAAGAAGACTGTTAATCATATACATGAAGAATTACTAAAGAACTTGCAAACAGAAATGAAGAGACTTAAGGAGAACAGTACTGTTATCTTCAAATATTTGAGGACTTTCAAGTGAAAGAGACATTTATAATTACCTTGTTAACTCCAGAGAACTTGACTGGACAATGGAAGACAACATTCAGAAAGCAGTTTTTATCTCCAAGGAAGGAAAAGTCACAGTTGCCCAGAAATACAATGACTATCTGGTAAAGAATTAAGTGAAGGTTGGATACTTCTCTGGTAGAAAAATAATGTGCCTCAGCTGGGAAGAAGTTAGTCTGGACAATGGCTAAGGAATCTTTCAACTCTGTGGGTCTTTTGATCAGCAGTTTTCTCTTACTCTCTTCTCATTTATTTGCCTCCTTTAAATAGTTAAAGTCAGCTTTTCCACACACATAGTGTGTGGAAAAAGACTTCATCTTCCTTCCTACCCTTAGGTGACAACTAACTTGGGTAGCGTTTTAGTAAATTTGTTCAACGCTGCAACCAAAGGACCTGACAAGAACAATTAGAGGAGGAAAAGTTTATTTGGGGGCTCCTGGTTTCAGAGGTCTCCGTCCATAAATGGCCAAATCCATTGCTCTGGACCCAAGGTGAGGCAGAACATCATGGCGGAAGGATGTGGTGGAGGAAAGCAGCTGGCGACATGGCACTAGGAAGGAGAGAGAAAGAGACGAGGCTCGGCTCAAAAAAATATAGACCCCAAAGGCAAGACCCCAATGACCCAGTTCCTCTGGCCACACCCTACCTGCCTACAGTCACCTCCAAGTTAATTCCTCATAGGGGATTAATGCACCAATTGGGTTAGGACTCTCATAACCCAATCATTTCACCTCTAAACCTTCTTGCATTGTCTCACACATGAGCCTTGGGGAGACACCTCACATCTAAACCATAACATATAATATGGTTTATTAACCACCAAATAATCTAATATTCTCCAGATTACATGATTACAAGAAAATTGTTTAACTGTTCAGAGCTACGGTTTTCTATCTCCATCCAAGGTGGTTGAGAGGAATAAATTAGCTAATTTACATCCCCTGGCACATAGTGTATACATGGCTATCACTGATTAACATCTGCTGCTATTAGCCATTATTATTTTACCCCAACTCCCAAATCATTGTCTCCGTGAGGCATCCGTCCTCTAATCAGTCCCAGGCTTGGTCAATTCACTAAAGCGATTTCTCCCATTCTAAGACATGAAGTTATTTCCAGCTGTTTTGAATTTGCTTTGAGAAACTGGATTAGAGCAGCAGAGCTGGGATCCTGGTGAGCATCGTACCTGGGAAAAGCAGAAAGCTATAGAACGGGGTGTCTGTCAAGTTGATCAGAGGTAAAAGTGCCCTCTTGAGGCCGAGAAAACATGGGATCTCCTGGCCACCTGACTTTTGGCCATGTTTATAAGTCAAGTCAGAAAGTGGCACTAACACTGAGAGATCCTTTCTTTGAAAAAAAAAAAAGGTGACAACTAACTTTGAATTGAAGATATTCAATTCAAAAATAATTGACCAAAACTCCTTTAAAAATGTCAAGGGCATGAAAGACACAGAAACGGAGAAAGAACTACAACTTAAGGAAGACAAGAGAGAGGACAGGAGAGCTAGATATAATGGGGGACCCTAGATTGCGTCCCGGAACACAAAACAGACACTGTGGAAGAACGGGAGAGATTCTAATGCAGCCTGCCACTATTAGCCATTACTATTTTACAGCCTCCCGGGGATCCTCAGTTGGGCTCATGCTAAGTTTATGCAAGATGCTAACACAGAAGAAGCTGGACGCAGAGACTAGGGAACTCCTCTTGCTACCTGTGAATTTTCTGAAAATTAAAATTATTTTAAAATTAAAGTTAAGGACTGGGGTTGTGGCTCAGCGGTACGTGAGAGGCCCTGGGTTCAATCCTCAGCACCACATAAAAAAATAAGTAAATAAAATAAAGGTATTTTAAAAAAATAAAATAACAATAAAATTAAAGATAAAATATAAAATACAAACATTTTCAAGGGTAATATTATCACAAATACTAATTACTCCTGAGCGCACCCCCTTGAAACATAACACACATACCAATAAAGAAAAATTTATTTTTTAAAATGTGAAGTCAGTTGTCGTGAATGAATAATGTTTCCTCAAAAATCCATATTTGAAGCCCTGACAGGGCCTTTAGAAGGAAATTAAGGTTAAATGAGGTCATAAGAGTGAAGCCATGATCTGAAATCCAATAGTATTAGTGTCCTTACAAAAGACAACAGACTCATTCTCTCCCGCGTGAGGAGACAGCAAGAAGGTGGCCATCTGCCATCCAGGAAGAAACTCCGACCAGATCTGGATCATGTTGGCACCCCGTTCTTCTATTCTCGGTCTCCAGAACTGTGAGAAAACCAGTTTCTGTTGTGTAAGCCATCCAGTTGCAGTATTTATGGCAGTCCAAGCGACTAATATATCAATGTGTTAGTTTTCTACTGCTGCTGTCTCAAATTACTCCTAATTTAAGGACTTGCAAATTTTTTGTATTACTCCCCTGTAAGTCACAAGTTTGGTGTGGGTCTCACTGGGTAAAATCCAGGTGTGAGCAGGCCTGCAGCAAACCACCCATCTCCTTGCACAATCCACTTCCACAGACACACATCTGCCATACCAATCCATACCTGGCTGGCGGCCCTGTCTCCATTCTCAGCGCCCAGCTCCCTCTGGCCGGGCATCCACATTCCCTCCCACAGCTGCCAATGGTTCTGCCCTTTTGAGGACTCCTGTGACTAGATGGGGTCACTCTGACAATGCAGCATTCTCTCCCATTCCAAGGACCAAACCCTTAATCTCATGTGCAAAGCCCATGCTACCTGCGTGGTGACATATTCACAGGGTCTGGGGATTAGGGGTGTCCATCTTTGGGGGCCACTGTCTGCCTATCTCAGTTAATCTCTGTTAACCCAAGAAAACTTGCCAAGACTCAAACTCACAGGCCCGTCAGGAAAATGTAAAGCCATTTAGGCCAAATCAAGGTCAGCGGAACCGCAGGTAACTTCCCAGGCACCTGAGCCTGGACAATGCCTCTGGAATGCCCGAGTGGAGAAAAGAACAGAAAACAAAACCCTTGCTGCTTACTCACACGCCCCGGGTATGAACGAAGGGCTGGCCAGGCCGGAGTCAGGGAAAGCACGGTCATGAGTCCCGTCCTTTCCTTTGGAAACTGACTTCCTGGAGGGCAGCTCTGAGGCCTGGGCCTTGAAGCTGGAGAGCAGAGGTCACCAAGAGGATTAAAGCATGCCCGAGTAGGGACAGATCTGTTTGAGACAACCTTCCCATCAAAAAGATTAACTCAGCCATTCAGGATAAGCTACCCTACATACACAGGGACACACCAATAGATTAAAAAAAAAATTCCCAGGAATAAAACAATTGGAAAACAGAATAGAAGGAAAATGTCATTTACAAGGGTAACTCTTGAATCCACTTATGAGCTATAAAGAAAGTTATGAAATTCTACCAAGGGACAGTGAAGAAGTCATGTATCTCCCCCTAGACAGAGAAACGTGTGCTGCCCTTGGATAAGCACACTGGGGTCTGCAGCCTTGGGAAGAGGGCAGACGCACCAGCAGCTACGGCAGGGGCAAAGGAAGCCACTGGAGGGGGCGTGTGCAAAGTGACTCCTCAGGTCCATCATGAAAAGGTGTCGTTAATGCTTTTAAGACTATTAGTCTCCATTTATTGTGTCAAATGCTTTGTACAAGCTTGCATAATTGCTTCCTTGAACATAATCAGAGATGGGGTTTGTGTGTGAAGTTTCCACCTGTGAGCCTCAGCTATGCCCATACAAGCTTAACCTTCAAAATACAGAAATAGCTTTCACCCTCATGACGCCTACTCCAGTCCCATCACGCTGATTCACTCACATGGAATCCTGGTATTCTAAACAATTTGCTAACAATTAGAAATTAATAAGAATTATTTTCCATTTCACAGGAGCTCTTTCTCTACAGTTCCATGTTTAATCAGCACGAATACTACAGTATATTTTAAAAGGGTGACAAAATGGACTTTGTCTTTTTTTTTTTTTTTTTTAGATTTTTTTCATTGGACTTTATTATCACCGGATCTCAGCTTCACAAATATTGAGCTCCATATTATCTAACAACTTTAAAAATCTCTAATATCTTTAAAAAGGATCTCCGCTAACATGATTTTTTTAAAAAGAAATATTCTGTAATATTGAGATTCTAAGTACAGTTGCTGTTTAGTTTATTGTTCTTATGTAACCAAAAGCTAGGTCCTTGTCCTTGATGCCAATCCAATAATGAAGATAAGGTCTTGAGAAAAAAGAAGAAGATTTATTGCTTTGCTACCAAAGGAGAAACACAGGGGACTCCTGTCCCAAAGTCTGGGATTCTGCCCAGGGAGTCAGAAAGGAGAAGTGTACGCAAAAGAAGATCAGGGAGGAGAAGGTTAGGGAAAAGAAGATTGGGAAAAAGAAATGGACATGTAAGTTTCAAACCACAAGAGAGATAGTCAAAGCATCAAGTGAACCCCTGTTACACTTAGATAAATGTTCATAATAATAATGTATAAGTTTACATTCCAAATATATCATATTTAGAGATTTCCAATTTTACAGTTACAAATTAAACATGTTTACAGATTTATAATAGAATAATTCTAAGTAGTATAGTATACAAATAAAAGACATTTAAATATCATAATAAAATGATGCAAGAGATATTTTCATTTTTGTAATTTGGAATTCTTCCATACCTGCCTCATCATCTACCCATTTTGAATAAAAGGCATTAATAAGAAGTTAAGGGAGATAGGAAGGCATTTACTTCAGCATTTTAATTTCCCTCTAGGTGGGCAGATACAATCAAGTAGTCAAATTGTGACATTCTTGCTTCAAATATTCTGTTTTAATAATTTATTAAGCCTGCTCAGTTCTTCATGGAGTCTGGAGCAAGACCCCGCAGGGCATCAATAATGAAGGAAAGAGAGTCATCGAGGCACATACCTGGAAGAGAAGCAGTTAGAGCAAACAAAGCTCCTGGGACAGTCTAGGGCAGATGCCCAGGACAGCAACAGGGCAAATCCCTCTCAGGCCAGTGCAGGGCACGTCCTGGGGCCTCCGTTGCTGACCCGCAGAGGCCCACCAACCCCTTTCACCCTCTACCCAAGGCATGAAATATTCAAGAAATAAAATCAGAACTGTCTTCCAGCACTTAATCCCAGTGCAACTGAGCTGACCTGAGTCCTCTTTATTTCAAAACAGCTCTGTGTGAGAAGACTTGATCATTTCTGTTTACAGCTGTTGGGGTAGATAATCACATCTCTAGACCGTTTTCACTCCAAGAAAATGTCTGGGCAGCTGGGAAGGCCCAGTCCAGGATGGCATGAGACTGGGGTCCAATGTGCTTTGGGGCTTCTGTAACACTCTATCTGGTGGGTGGATGGTGGGGACTGTCCTCAGGAAGGCCAGTAAGAAGCATTCTTCCACATGTCCCAAGGGTTCCCAGTTCAGCAAGGGCTGGGTGCATTCTGGGCTTGGAGCTGGGAGACTCTCCCCTTCACCAGCCTCTCTCTCTGTTCACCTCGCTGGGGAGTTCCAGAGTGACTTAGAGTGTGGGGAGATGGGAATAAACTTTCAGAATGAATTTAATTGAAAAGTCAACTGGGAGTAGGGCATGGTGGGACATGTTTATAATCTCAGCACCTCAAGAGGCTGAGGATCTCGGCAACTTAGCAAGACTCTGTCTCAAAATAAAAAATGAAAAGTGCTGGGAATGCAGATCAGTGGTTTAGCACCCCTGGGTTAAATCCCTGGTATCAAAGAGAAAGAAAGAGAGAACAACGTGGGTTTAAATTAGAAGGATTTGACCCTTTTCAAAGAAAAATTATGCCTAGATGCCCAAACAGGTGGGCCCTTGGCTTAAGGCACATGGGGAGGGCTGGACTGAGCTGGGGGCTGGAGGTAGCTCAGATGTGGAGCACATGCTTAGCATGCACAAAGAAGGTAGTTAGGAGGAGAAGAGGAAAATGAAGAAAAAGAGGAAGAAGAGGATATAGGGAGGGGGAGGAGGAGGAGGAGAGAAGGGGGTGGGAAGGGCTGAAGCACCTACATCCGGATCCATTTCAGAATGGGTAACACACTGGCATGGTCTAGGCTGTAAGAAAATGTGGTCTCAGAACCCAGGACTTACCAGTCAGTTCATTCAACAGGTGTCAGTGCAAATACTAGGTAAGAAACCAGGAGTGCTATGTGACCCCAATGACTGCCTAGAGGAAAAGCCATTGAGAAGTAATAAATATGCACACATGTGTACAAAGCTACACAAATGCATCACACAGCCACCTACAGAAACGCTAGACCTCATCATCCCGGATGCCTCAACTCACCACCTGTACCTTCATTTTCCGGGAGGAGAAAGGAAAGGAAAGTGCAGGAGGTTGAGACACACAGCTGGCTGAGCCCTGGCTGCTGCTTCTTTCAGGTCCACCCTCCCTTCCTCCTGGTCTCTGCAGCTCACTCCTGACCTCACGATCCTCCAATTCTCTCTGTGCCCCTCTCTGTGTCTCTCCTCCGTTGCTGTCACCTGCATCATCAGAGGACATTTCCACACACAGTAAGAGCTGCACATGTAATGTAGAGCTTTGTCCAGAATACAATCTTAATAATTCTCTTTTTGTCTTGTGTCTATAGCATTGATTTTAGCTTTGTTTGTTTTCTGAAATTGTAGAAAGACCTTCCACTAAACTTATGCTCAAGCAGAGGAAAATCAACTACCCTAAAACTACCAAGGGAAGTTAACAGTAGAAATGTCACTTTTTCGCTTTAAGTGCATGCAGCTGTGGGGGTAAAACAGGCTATATAGCAATTGCTGATTCACACCCAGGTGTTAAACTATAGAGGAGGGAAGAAGGGGTCCAGAAGGAGGGAGGCAGGAAGAGCAGATGCCCTGTTAGACCCTCTCTGCCTTGTGGACAGCCCTCCTGGGCACACACGCCTTAAGAATTACTCAATTTCCATAACAGCTCTTCATCTTCCAAGCCCAGAAAATGATTCCACAGGCGATGGCCCCACGCAAGCCCTGCTGACCCCTCTCTCTCTGCTCCATCTGTCTCTCTGTCCTCGGAATGCCCTTGTCATTGAATTCTAGGGCGTCAGCCCAGAGTGAAATGAATTTTCAAGGAATAAACCTTCATCTCCCCTAATATCATGCATTGTTGACATACTTGCCCTTAATCCTGAGAGCCCAAATACCATAATCTTTAAAACCCCCTTCCTGGTACCTTTTTAACTATTATTCCCAGGATAAGAAGAAATAAACAGCCACCACAGAGCCACCTCTCACCTTGTCTCTTTGTTTTTCCTTTTGTTCATCAGGAGTCTGGTGGCCTTTTTCTCTTATTAGTCCATTATGCATGCTCACCACCAGACAGTGTTCCCATCTGTACACGACACAGTGCATCATTGTCCAGGGGCTACCTACATGAGCCTCCTCTGGGGACAAAAGAGCTTTTGCCACACATCCAAAAAATAACTCTGTTCAGATTGCCCACTTCAATCACTTGGTTAACATAGTGCGATGAGCCAAAATCCGTTATTCTATTCTCACAAGGAACCAAATGATGTTTAATTGGGCATTTAAAAGTGACTGTTAACTTACACAGACCTCATCACAAACGGGTTTTCAACCAGCCCAGTGATCTGAAACAACAATTAGCTTCAATTCACACTTATTATCTGTCCCTCATTAAAGCATTTTATTCAGCATCTAAATTCTTTTCTATTCAAGAAAGTGTTGATATTTTACTTTGGATAGGAGAAAATTTTTTGGTTTTGACTTCCTAAGAGGCATCTTGCAGAATAACTTCCTATACATTTTCTGCTCTAATTATGCAAGCGTGAGAAACTCTTCCTAAAAATCCCTCGATTCCAGGATGGGTCTCCTCGGATGGCTCTGGTGATTTCTGTCCTGACCCTGCTGGTTCTGTGGGCATTGGCAGCCCAGTACATGACAGACCTGCTCAGTTGCTCTGCCAGGATCTCTTGTTCCGCGAGGCCTCCAAACACCTTTCTTCCAAATAGTCTCCAGGTACAGGGCCAGTACTCCTGGAAAGGTTACTGTTGCCTGCTTTCTCCAAAGTTGGGTTTTAAAACACGAGAAGCACATAGGGCATGGGAGGCGTGTTCTTCTCCAAAGAAACAGAATCAACAGGAGACAGATGGAGAAAAACATTAGAGAATTGACTCCCATGACGGTGAAGATGGCAAGCCCAAAACCTGTACAGCAGGCCAGCAGTCTAGAAAGTTCTGAGAGAGTTAAAGCTGCAGTCTTGAATCTGAATTCTTCTGAGCAACAAGCTGGAAACTCAGGCAGGGTTTCTCTACTGCAGCCTTGAGAAAAATTGTTTCTTCTTAGAAATATCCATCTTTTCTCCGGAGGCATTCAACTAATCATTGGCCCACCCACACCACAGAGGATCATCTTCCTCACTCAAAGCCCATGACTAAAAAGTCAGTTGTATCTGAAGAATAGCTCTGCAGTAATGACTACACTTGCATTTGTCCATATGGCTGGGTACCAGAGCCCAGCCACACCAACATATAGTCAGCCATTGTAGGAGAAGAGAACACACTGAGATTTGAAATGACAACTCTGTCACATATTGCTCTGAGACCTTCCTTGGGCCTCAGTTTCCTCATCTGTATCATAGTTCCCCAGACAAAATAAATAAGGATAAACATGCCTAACGAGTATTTTCATGAATATTTGGTTAATAAAGTTGGGTTTCCTCTCACTGAGTGGACCCCAATAATGTTAATAGAAAGGACATAAGTTATTCTTTGACCAAATCACAGCTAAATTCACATCATTTTCAAACTGGACATATCTGGGTGTATTGGAACCATACAGGAGGTTCAAGTTGATTCTAGGTGATTTGGGGGCAGCACTGGGTTTGAATGTCTGCTTGGGACTTCAGTGGTGGGCTTCTATGGTTAGGCTATTCAAAATCAAGTGAGATCGTGTTGCTCCTGAAGATGGTTTAGTAATGTGCAATGGTGAAGAGTGGGAAGAAAATCATCGAAGAAGTGATGCACCCTGGCTGAGAAGCAGGGCATCCATCACTTGGCCTCCCTTGACCTCAATTTCCTTTATAGAAGATGGGGTTTGGACAAAATGACTGTAATGTTCCTTCCCATTTCAAAGTGGAACCTATTAGGATTCATGTTTTCTTCCTGAATGGTTTATGTTCATTAAGAAGCACTTGATATTGGTTAAGTCAAATGTTTTAAGCTGTTAGGTGTATTAAGGCATAAAAGTCCGTGAAACTTAAAGACGGAAAGCTCTCGTTTCACCAGGCTGCGGCTCACCCTTTACATCAGCTCCCACAATGAAATCAGTTAAAAGTTGTATTTTTATATTATCTCTTCAAACTTTTTATTCTCAGAAGATCTTATGACTAAATCTTCCTTTAGCCAATTTGGTGTCAGCTATTTTTCTTTGACAGTATCTAAGGTGGTATTTATTAGGCCTGTTCATTCTACAATTTAACACGCCTCAGGGACCACTCCACTCTCCGGGATTAATGGTCCCTATTATTGCACCTTTCTGGTCAGTTTAGATCTTCACACTTTTTTTAACTGCTTGGTCTTTGCTTCCAAACTGCGAGTTTCACTAGAGGATTACATTTAAAACAGGACCATTTTGGGGAGGAAAAAACTTTCAATAGTGATCCGTACCTTATAAAAGGAGCAATAAATGTGTGTTAAGTAGATAAATACACAAACACACACACACACACACACGCTCACGCATATTACACTTATGTGTGGTATTTATAAAAATAGGTTTAAAATATTATAGAAAATGTATACAGAAGAAAAGAAGGGATCTCAATATGTGATCTCACAGCCGTGTCCCAGCCTGCTGCACCGTCCCTTAGTCATCCAGGTCCCTCCACACGCGTCAAGGTCAGTCCCAGTGTGCCTGCAAGCTGTTAATCCCCAGAAGACAGCAGTGAGCACAGTAGGACAGACCCTCCCCCACAGGACTGTTCCTCTCCACCTTTCCTCAAGTCAAACTGCAGGAAGGGCAGAAAACAGAGATAATGCCTTTATTACTGACTAGAACTCTCAGGGAGTGACATGGTTCAAAGTAGCATTGTTGACTCGATTTTGATACAATGCTCAGTAT